CAACAAAAGGATAGTGTTACAGTTTGATTTGCACTGTCGCTTCATTTTTATAAAATATATTTTTCCGTTACTCTTTCCTATTTTATAATGTAAAAGGCAATAATAATTTGTTTAAATTACAGAATGACGTATTCACATTAAGATCAAAATTCACTTCGTTCAAATGAAAACAAGAAGAAAAAGAAATCTAATCTAGTTCTATTGCTACGTTTGATTTAATCATGTGTTTATTTTCAAACACTCTAAAAGAAAATGAGCTAGAAAACGCGCTTCGACGAAAAGAAACTAAATCAACGCCTTCTTGTGAAGTAGAATTTACTATGCATGGTAGAACCGGTCGGGGAACAACTCGCAAGTGCTGTCAAAATACCACCCTCTATTAAGCCGAAACCGTCCTCAACGATTGTTGTCGGCAAATTCCGTAATACTGTAAGAGTTTCCGAATCTTATTAACTGATCAGAAGAGGAATTATGCAATTTGTTAGACAAGTAGATATCAGAAAAAAGAGATTGTTCCCCCGCCAGGATAAAACACCTTAATAACAAAACATAGCAGTCACAAGATAATGGCTGACTGAGGCTGGGTGCTTGTGATGCCTGATGCCTGCCCTTTTTGCTACGGTGTCGACCTAGCTGTTGAACAGCCCATCACCAAACCTTAAAAAATCCAGAAGAGACAACATGCATTCTCATTCATGCTGACTGTTTCTCTACACTTGTTGTGATCATCAATCCTCAAGTGCTTCCTAGATGTCTGTAAATCTAGGATACACAACTTACATACTAAGTCAGTGCTCAAACTGACTGCTCTTTTCAGTGCTCCTGTTGTGATTGTGGTCAACACAAGTTCCTTGACCTGTATAGCGTTTCTTGATGTTCTAAATAAAAAATGAAAGCTTTTTAGACCACAAAATTGGAATTTTTCAAAAGGCCAAAACTAGCATTTTCAAAAGGGGCTAACCCGCGACTTGTGTCAAAAATTTTAAAATTTTTCTCTGTTTGTTTTTCGATTAAAAAAAAGCATGAAAATAGAGTTTCTTGATGTTCTAAATAAAAAGGAAACCTTTTTAGACCAAAAAATGAGAACTTTTTAAAAGGCCAAAAATTACAATTTTCCAAAGGGGTTAACCCACGATTTAGGTCCAACAATCCAAACAAAAATTTAATTTTTTGTCAAAATAAGCTAACAAGTGAGTTCCTTGGTCTTCTAAACAAAAAAGAAACTTTTTTTGACCACAAAAATGGGAAACTTTCATAAGGCCAAATATCCCAATTCTCCAAAAGGGTAAACCCACGATTTTGGTCAAAAAATTCAAAGTTTTTCTTTATTTGTTTTTCGCCAAAATAAGGTTAAACATAGAGTTTCTTGATGTTCAGAAATAAAAAGGAAACTTTTTTAGACCACTAAAATGGAAAATTTTCATAAGGCCAAAATTCGCAATTTTCGAAAGCGGTTAATCCACGATTTTAATCCAAAAATTCAAAATTTTTCTTTATTTGTTTTTCCCCAAAATAATCTTAAAAATAGAGTTTCTTCATGTTCTAAATGAAAAGGAAACATTTTTAGACCACAAAAATGCTCACTTTTCATAAGGCCAAACATCGCAATTCTCCAAAGGGGTTAACCCACGATTTTGGTAAAAAAAAATTGCAAAAAAATTGTGTTTGATTTTCCTTAAAATACGCTTTAAAAAAGAGTGTCTTCATGTTCTGAACAAAAAAGAAACCTTCTTAGACCACAGAATGGGATCTTTTTGTAAGACCAAAATTCGAAATTTTCTAAAGGGCTCAACCCAGGATTTGGTTAAAAATATCTGGAATTTTTTCTTTGTTTGTTTTTTGCCAAAAAAAGCTTTAAAATAGAGTTTCTTGATGTCCAAAATACAAAGGAAACCTTTTTAGGCTACAAAATAGGAACTTTTCATAAGTCCAAAAATCGTAATTTTCGAAAGGGGTTAACCCACGATTTTGGTCAAAAAAATGCCAAAAAAATTTTTGTTTGCTTTTTCTCAAAATACGCTTTAAAAAGAGTTTCTTTATGTTCTAAACAAAACAGAAACCTTTTTAGACCGGAAAAATGGGATTTTTTCATAAGGCCAAAAATCGCAATTTTCCAAAGGGGTAACCCACGATTTTGGACAAAAATATTCCAAAAAATTTTTTTTTTCTTTTTCTCAAAATACCCTTAAAAATAGAGTTTCTTCATCTTCTAAACAAAACAGAAACATTTTTAGACCACAAAAATGGGATTTTTTCATAACGCCAAAAATCGCAATTTTTCAAAGGGGTAACCCGCGATTTTGGACAAAAAAATTCCAAAACATTTTTTTTTGCGTTTTCTCAAAATACCCTTAAAAAAAGAGTTTCTTCATGTTTTAAACAAAAAAGAAACCTTTTTAGACCGCAAAAATGGGATTTTTTCATAAGGCCAAAAATCGCAATTTTTCAAAGGGGTAACCCAGGATTTTAGTCCAAAAAATTCCAAAACATTTTTGTTAGCTTTTTCTCAAAATACCCTTAAAAATAGAGTTTCTTTTTGTTCTAAACAACAACAGGAGCCTATCAAATGGAGCCTCCATCTCCCATACAAGCCCTTGGAGTCAACCCTTTCCCGAGTAGATTTATAATTAGAACGGTTCCCAGGGGAGACTTCGCGCGCCGACGGTGGGAAGAGCCAATCACAACGACTAAATGACACTGCTATTGTACTTCACGAAACAGCAGGAAATCCGGTGCTGACAGGCCAAACAAACTCATAAGCTAGTGAAACGTGACTTTAGAGTTTTCATCCCTCAGAGATTTTCTTTTCTTTTCTTTCTAGCGGGTAGATTATACTATGGAGAGTTTTAAACTCTGACTATGTTAATCTTAATTTTGGTTGCTTGTCTCACGTTAAGCTGGTCTGTTACATGCGTAAGGATTAACTACTACCTGCATTCTGTAGTTCTGACAGGATTCGTTTTCTTTAGCCAATTTTTTTGAACGTTAAGGTTCTTATTTCGGCTAAATGACTCAATATTAATCAAATTTCTAGTTTTTCAAGTTTTTATCCGAAATGCGTTTGTCTGAATAAATACTGTGGTTGTTTTGTCCGTCAGTTAGTGTGATGATTCCCTGCCATGTTTTGTATAAACGCCGAGCCCAGCCATTGTTTTCTCGCAAAAAAGTGATCTACAGATGCGAATTCGAAGGAAAGAATTGGCCTAAACTTCTACATTAATTGCTGAGAATTCTCCTGTTGGTCAGTCATAATTCTTTGGGCGCAGATACAATCCATTTTGTTTTTCTTGAGATAAGAGGGTCTTTGGACTGGAGCGCGATGTCACAAATTCCACCGTTAGCAAATTACTTTTGAGTTTAATTGCTTCACGGTCGAGCAACTGTTGTCTTCTGTTCAACTTTTCAAGTGCCAGTTTTATCAGGCAACTCTCATGGTGATACAAGTCAGTTGTAAAGGAAGACTGCAATTTTTCTGAAGCATTCCTCCTTACTTGCTACTTAGGTCATCGCTTTTGCACACGGTGCTTAATTTGGCGAAATCCACTCCACGGCGATGACAAAAATAAATGATCCTGGCACTTTTTCGGCGCTGATCATCGCGAAGTTTCAAATCGTCCACAGAACGCTTAATCGTCGACTCTTTTCAAGGTGCATGCTTAAATGTGGGATGTATGACGGCAAAAAAAAAAACAAACAAACAAACAAACACTCGCAAAGAACCTTTCCGTGATCCTCAGTTCGCTGCCTTTGTCCCATCGCTTCATGCTCAGTCTCAGTCGGGTAATTCATTAACTTTTATTTCATCCCAGATCCCAGCGGCTGTAAAACTGTGAAAATGGACGTATAGTAAAAAAGGAAAACGGTGGAGGATGGGCTTCTGAGTTCGACTTCATCCAACTTCATTTTTTTCACGGTGACATACGAGACTCACGGAAATATGACACTTTTCGCGGGAAACAAGCCGTTCTATTTATAAATCTACTCGGGAAAGGGTTGACTCAAGAAATTAATGGAGATGGAGGCTCCATTTGATGGGCTCCTGACAACAACAAAAAAACATTTTTAGACCCTGAAAATAGTGGGATCTTTTCATAAGGCCAAAAACCGCAATTTTCAAAAGGGGTTAGCCCACGACTTTTGTCAAAAATTTAAAATTTTTCATTGTTTATTTTTTGATTAAAAAAAGCTTGAAAATAGAGTTTCTTGATGTTATAAATAAAAAGGAAACCTTTTAAGACCACAAAAATGGGACGTTTTCATAAGGCCAAAAATCGCAATTTTCTAAAGGGGCTAACGCATGATTTTGGTAAAAAAAATTAAAAAACTTTTATTTATTTTTGCCAAAATAAGTTTAAAAATAGAGTTTCTTGATGATCTGGAGTGAAAAATGAGAACTTTTCATAAGGCCAAAAATCGCAATTTTTCAAAGAGGTTCGCGATAAAAAAGAAACTTTTTAAACTTTGTTCGACTATAAAAAATGGGAACCTGTCATAAGGCCAAAAATCCCAATTTTTGAACTGGTTAACCCATGATTTTGGTCAGAAATCTCCACAGTTAATTTAGGATGGCGACTTTGTAAAATCGATATTTTTATTGTCTAAAAAGCCTCTTATTATAGTGGAACATTGCCAAACGTTTCTTAGGGCTATCTTACTCAAAAACAGAATTGAAGAGCAAGAAATTTTAATTTTTTGTCGAAATCATAACTTATTTTAAAACCCCTTGTGGCCATTCGATATTTTTATAGTCTGGCCACAGTGACCAGGCTTGTTTTCGATTTTATTTAAAATATAAACCACTTTATTTCTAGACTTTCTAGGCCTTTTATCATGTAGCTCAAATACAAGAAGTAAAAAAAAAAAAAGGATTTCAGCGTTTTTGCGCGGACAGCCTTCAGACCTCAGATTTTTTGCTTCCACTCGTACCGTAATAAATGCTTTGCGGTCGTTGGACGAACACATATTTTTCTTACACGAAGTACATAGTGAGGTTTACCAACATGGCAGCCTCGAAGCTGGAAATCAATTTCTGCCGTCTATTGGAACGCTGCGAAGCGATGGCCTCAGAAATCCAGGAGAATAAAGAAAACGTAAGCTGGAGGTTGGAAAAAGTGAGTTATGGCATTCATCAAAAAATTGTGTTCTACTGTTACCTCTCTAGGATTTGAACAAACGGTCGACCCCAGCGGTCTGGTCGGGTTTGTAACAATTTTTCACCGTTTTTCCACTCCATATTGCAGTATGTTTTAACGCTACAGAGGCAAGCTGCCGAACTAAAAAAGTCAGAAAGGTTAGTTATTAAATGCAGAGTAATAAGATAAAAGTTAAACGAGCAATACGTTAATGTAAAATAGTGCTTTTAAATAATAAGCTTAAAACAGCTGATACAGGTAGTCTTTACTCTGACGAGTCTTTATGTCGGGTCGATTGTTTTTATTATTAATATTTTAGTCATCACATTAGAGCTTTTTTATCAGTACCTGACCCAGTTAAATAAAGGAGAAGATAGTCTTTTCATATTAAAGGAAAGAGTTCATCGTCTTGGTATACCGACAATGGACATAGCTAGTTCACTGTTTAATTTTGGTACCCCGATATGGCGGACTGAAGCAGACATCTCCCTTTGGTAGCAGGCAGCGGTTGGCTGGCCTGAGCTAAATTTAAGTTGTCTAGCAGTATACAACATTCTGAAAGGCAGATGACTTGTGTCTCTAACGTACTGTAGGCATCAGTGGTCAGGGATGTAGATAATGAGGCCTTCCAAGGGGTAAAAGCGACATGCGACACGGCCCTGAAAACTGGCGACATGGGAATTTTTAAAAAGCGAGAAGTGACATGCCTACGCTGCTAAAATGCGACAGCGACATACTAAACAGTGAAAAACGACGGTGACATTGGAAAGTTGTGCATTTTATCAATAAAAGTGACTCAGAATACAGGAAATTGCATTTCTGAGGGTTCAGATTTTCCAAATTTTCCCGCAGGAGCCTACCCTTAAAGAAGAAGAAGAAGCGTTCATCCTTCGCCGCTCACAAAGTTTTGCCAACTGACCACCATGAAAATCCTGTTATAGCCCTGTTGCGAAACAGTTTCTCGCAAAACAAAAATTACTGGTACAGTTATGTACACTTCAAAAAACGACAGCGACATTTGCAGCTGTAGATTAGGCGACAACGGTCTCCTAAAGCAAGCGACATTGCGACACAGCTACCCCCCTTGGAAGGCCTCGATAATAGCCGGGAGCTGGGAAAAATACCCGGCTGTCAAAATTATTTTTCCAGCTGAAAAAAATGCAGTCTTTAAAAAGGCAACTGTTTTCTTCTCATGTTATCTGCCCATCAAATGCCATTTCCCATCGGTTATAAATTTAAGCTACATCCCTTGTGGTTGGCTGGTATCGGCTTCCAAGTTTCACTTTTTTGTCACTCTGTAACTAAACTTTCTTCAATTCAAAGCAAACATTCACATGGTGAAAAAAACCTCTAATGAAGATACTGGTGGTTGTTTAATTTTTTGCATCACTAATAAGTGTAGCCAGCATTTCAGGTCATGCCTCTTATGATTAAAAAAGTGGACCTTTTCAAAAACTGGGAAATCAAAATATTCTGGTTCCATCAGCTTGTCGAGTCACATGTAAGATACATTTTTGGAAATAATCAAAACATTAAATATTAATTATTTTTTTGTCTTGTTACAGCAAACCAAGTCCAGATGCAATGACTGAATACAACAAGAAAGTAGAATTCCTTAAAGGTTTAATAGAAACACAGAAAATGGTGAGACAGGGATCAGTGTTTTGAAATCTTAAGATGCGCATCTGTTGTTGCATTTAAATGGGAAAAATGAATAAATAAATAAATAAATAATTATTATTATTGTTTAGGAATAAATTATTAGGAAATGCTTGTCATCAGAGAATATACAAGTACAATAAATTGTATATTGTTTGTATGTTAAGTATTTACCGCTGGTTGCATGTAAGCGTGGACACGAGATAAAAAAACATGTTCTAATAGGGTGCCTGACATGCCGTTAAAGCGAACTGTCACACCAAAGGTAAGTTGTTTTTATGTTTTTGAGTGGCATGGTCTGCTCATATTTCATTTATTTTTACACATTGACCTTCCATACATTGTCTCTGTTTTATTTAGGTGAGTAAAACTTACATGCATATGCATGTAAAAATTATGGGACAGTGGAAATCCACCATCAGTCATAAGGGGAAATTCCAGGCACCCTTCAATTTCTTCTGGCTCTGAAAATACCATAATAATTTAGGTTTGTGAGAAGCTCTCAAATTCTCCTTTCCAAGGGTTTGTTCCCTTTAATTTTCTATTGCAGTTAGTGTAGATCCATGTTAAATAGGACTTACCTTCACTTTGTTTTGTAGAAAACACCAACACAAAAACTTCTTGCCAGTCGGCAGTTAGTACGTCCACTGAGTCAAACATCGAATGCACAGACCACAGAGGGAGACAAAGGACAAACAGTAAACAGAGCACAAGAACTTCATGTCAGGGCAAAGTCACAGATTAATAAAGAGATGAGAAGTGAACTTCTGGCAGAAGGTGAGAATAATGCAGCTAAAAATACTTCACTTCTGATACAATGCACTTGTAAGTTAGTTTATTTGATATTTTGTTGATTTTTGCAAGGATCATGCACATAACTGGTTTACATTCCTCGACACATTATGGTTTTCTGAACTTAATATTGTGAGTCACAAAACTAAGCACCTTACCATGGCACATTCATTTTGCCTTGTTTGGGGACATTTTGTGACATGAAATACTTTGATTTTTTAAAAATAACTTGAATAAAATATTATTTAATTAATTTATTAGTGCTAGAATTTAACAAGGAACCTTGCTCATTTTCCAGAAAATAAGAAAGACAGTCATGGAGTGCGAAACAGGTGACTTATTATATTTTACTTGCATATTACTAGTTTGGTCCCTTAGCCACTGTAGATTTTAAATCCCCCATAATCACTCTGTTTGCTCCCTACATTTGGCATAAACTATAGTCTTCAAATGTAGCCTACAATCAAGCTCTTCGGGATGCTCCGGCAGCGGGAAAAAGTTGATGCAAAATGCTTATTGGCGGAGATGACATTAGTAATGATGTCATTACCCTTGGCGTGTGCCGTCATGTGTTTTTCAATGCTTGTTTACCTTTGTGCGCATTTCTGCTCTGCACTTACTTGCAAGCTGTCCTTCCTTTTCCTGCCCTGCTGCCAGAGTGCCCTGGAAAGATTGCTCGCAGGCTACTTCAAATGCTCCTGGGAGAAGTGCATAATTCCAATGGCATTTAAACACAAAAACTTTACTTATATACAAAACCAGGGAGGCAAGAGCAGTGTTTTTTGCAGTAATTCAAAAAATAATAGTTAATGGAAACAAATCCCTGGTAGCAAGTCAGTATTAATGCTCTGGTGTTAACTTAATACTTTCTGCAACATTGAATTGTTAGTTAGTGTGGTGAACAATTAAAATCTGCCTTCTATAAATAGCCTATGTTCCAGCTCCAGGCCCACACAGTTTAAAACCTCAGGGTGTGTTTCATTTGAATGATCCAAATAAGGATCAGTGACCTGTGATCACTCGAGTTATAGCACATCAAAGGATCAGACAAATCGACCGTGGGAAAGGATTCATCAGTTCACTTGACGTACCATGATCTGAATGATCTCTGATCTGGATCACTCAAAGGAACTCTAACTATAATTATAGCTAGGCTATACGTGTAGTGTCTGCCATACACAGGCTACCTGTTTCTGACAAACCCTTTTCTTGAAGATTAACAGGGAACAAGAAAAGTGATACAAATGATGAAAGCATTGACTCTGTTCTACAATACCATCAGAACTTACAGGAAAATATAGCAGAGGAAATGATAAAAATGGCTCAGCATATAAAACATACATCTGTCATGGCCAGCAACATTATTAAAGAAGATAACAAGGTTACTAGGATGTTTGTGGTTTAATAACAGTAAATAACAAATTATTGGATGAGGTCTTTTCCTGACATCTGAAACAGACTAGGTGAAGTACATATTATTGGCTGAAGCTGATAACTCTTACCGAGACTTTGATTATTGCGAATACCATATTTCTTTGAATAATAGCCGTCCCTGAATTAATCGCCACCCTTAAATAATTGCCCCCCTTTGATGGAAATGTTTAAAATAATCGCCTCCCCCACCTCTATAGGTTACCCACTAGGGATAGCCATTGTGGAACTTGGAGGATGGAGCTAAAGTGGAGTCTGATTCAGCAAAACTCATCAGTGATGATTCAAGCTCTGATGCCAAGGAAATTGACAGCAAAAATTAATCTGAAGGAACCAAATTTGGAACACTTTAAATGCCAATGTTCTTTTATCTGATGTGATTATTTTTTTATTTAATGGGAAAATAGAACAAAATATTTAGGGCATGACTTCTAGTCAGCTATATTTGAAATAGTGGCCTCCCTCGAATAATCACCCCCTTTTGGTGCAAAAAAAAAATAATAATAATCGCCCCCAGCTATTTAATTTGAGGAAATACGGTATCCCAAAAACCAAATCCAATGAGAATTGTTTTATTAAACACAGTTGTGAGGAAGATAGTCTTTTGATAAACACATTGTTCTTGAATACAAAGCTTTGTGCCCACAGTTTCAAGGCTGTTATAAATATGATCAGCTACCAAGGTGACTCCTGGCCTACTGTTATAAATTTAATAGAATAAAAATAGAACCACAAGAAATCTGTACCTGTTAGATTCCCTGCCTGCTTGTTTCCTGCAACTTGAAATCTTAGTGACAGCCATGTAAATTTGTATCACTAAGTTTCTTTTCTATTGTAGAGACGAATTACCCAAATTTTGGGCAAAACCACTGCCAAGAATGCAAAAAGTCCACTTTTGGTTGACGTGCATTATTCAAAATAAAGGCTTTAAACCGGCCCATATAAAGGATAATGCCTGAGCCCCAAGGCCTTGTTAAAAATAAACCGAGCGCCTGAGTTCATTGTTTTTAACTAGGCGTTGGGCCAAGGGGTATTGGTTAATTTACTTTTCCTTTGTTTTAGAACCAGCAAGTCATAATTAGGATCTCCTGTTCCACCTCAGTGACCTGGGCTTTAATTTATTGAAAAGAATAACTAATGTTCAAAACAATAGAAAGGTGCATTAATAACAAGGAAGGCGTATTTACAAATCGGTCAATTTACAAAGGCTTCATGTACAGACAACAGAGATAAACTTTGAAAAACTTACTGTTCAATTTTGTGTTTTGTTTTTTAGACCTTGGAGCAGTCAACAAAGCTTGCAGATTCAAATTTTGAGAAACTTCAACGAGAATCAGAAAGACTTGAGGAATTAACACAGACACCATGTTCCTGGTGGATCTGGATTATGATAAGTACAGTCTGCATAGTGTTTATGTGGATGATTATATTTATAAGACTTTTCCCAAAGAAGTGATATAGTGATAAACTGAAAGCAGAACTCTTTAAACAAAAAAGGTTCCAAGAACGTACAAGATTACAATTATTATTTGACAATAATATGCAATAAAACAACTATGAAGAAGACTGTTTCAGCTTACTGTGTTTAATTTATCAAGAGTTAAAATTCTTCTGGCCCCAGTTGTTTAAAAGGCGGATAATGCTATACTTATCTGCTAGATAGAGATTTATCTGTTGGATAACACTTTCGAACGTTTGAACCAACAGGGACAGGAAACCACTTAAGTGTCAATGCATTCAGCATGAAAGTACTAATAAAGGCCGATATTTTATATTTTTATATCTCGATCCTATTGGAGACATGACTGCATTGCCATTTTACTTGGTCATCTGAGCCACACAAAGGTCTAGCCATCTGAAGGGCAAAGCTGGTACCTTCAATTCTCAGTTACTTTTTTTAACCCTGAGTATTGGTCAGGGCACCTGGGAATCAAACCTGTGAACTTCCTGCAGTAAAGCACTCTAACAACAAAGGGCGATTTCCAGAAGTCGGTACTGGGTGGCTGAACCATGATCGGACCAGTCAGTTTGAAAATGAAATCGGCTTTTTCAAAGAGTGCTTACTGAAAACTGTCTCTTTAATGCAAACTATTCAGGATTTGACTCACTCTGATCTGGCTGGATAGTTTTGATTACAAGAGAAATTCTCATTATGATAGGAATGGTCTGGCCGGTCGGTTCTGACAAATGGAAAGCACTCTAAGTTAGTATTAAAACAAAGAAAACTAAACCTAAGGATAAATGAGGCTGAGGGAGGGGAAGGCAAAAGATTAAAGTAAGGATGGGGGAGGGTAGAAAAGTAAGAGGGTGGAGAGGCGAGGCAAGAGTAGGGAAGGGAAGAGAGGGTTGAATAATAATTGCACAGATTAGCCATACATCCATACTCTTCCAAAAGAAAATGCGCTTGCACCAGAGGGCAAATCCTGCCGACCAGAAAACAATAACTACAGTCAATCGATATAAATGTCATGACCTCTCAGTGTGAAACATGCGGCTAAAACCACATTTGCTCAGTAAAATGCAGAACCTTCCAGAGCATAATCTACCCAGCAGATAAAAAAAACTTTATTGGAATAAGCAGCATTTTGGCATGAGGTAAAAGTCGTGTAGGCCTACCACCCCCTTTTATTGCTATGGAAAGTGACGGCACTGATCTTGAACTAAGAGAGAACTACTATTGAGTTTGAAAGTGACACCTTTGATGTATGGAAAAAAAACAAGTTCATTTTTTTCTCAATAAATAGTTGCTATAGTTTTGAAATATATTCACACTGTTTTCCCAACTTCTAGACTAGAAGGGCGGTAATTCTACACAGGCTTTCTTTGTAGCGCATGTAAGATTGGCTGGATAAATTGAGATCGCCCAGTACCACCCAAAGTTGATGTATAAAGTGTTATTCACTCAGGTAAGTGTACGTCAATAAATTTTAACATATATTTACAAGGTCGACCCCAACTATGTTGTCCACTGAAAGTATTAAATAAAGTACCCAGCCAATTCACATTACAGTTTCAAAAAGAGAATGCAATTTGCAATTCTCATTTCTAATTTTAATACCCATCCTAGTTGCTGCGGAGCGACCGAAGGGAGCGAGCAGCAACATAATCAGGATTTAAAGGAAATATACTAGGGTATCTAAAAGATAGTAATGCTGCGGCACATTCTGTTGATACTGGCATTAGTTAGGCAGTGGGACTTGAAAGAATCGAAAATGACATTGAATGTCCTATTTACATGTTGGAAAGTACTAGAATAATTACTATCAGTCTATAGAAAGAACTCGTGGGAACGTTGTTTAGAAAATGATCAAGTGGTTATCAACTGTGGTTTTCCCACAGTAAATTGTAGGAAATGATAGAAATTCAGATTGTTTATCCATATATTTAATATATGGTGTACTATCATTTCTCTGGAAACACGATACTTTTCTTGCTGTTTATTGCACTTTATTAAGTAACAGTTATTTAGCTATATATTTATGGAAAACAACAACACAAAAAACGGAAAAAAAAAGAAAGAAGGAAAAAAAAAGTTCGGTAGGATTCGAACCCAGCACCATCGATTCGACGCGACTACACCTAACCACTACACCACAGAGACTGATTAAGTAATCTTGGGAAAAGTCTTTAATTTAATGCTTTTTTCATGAAACTTCCGCCGGCAAGATGATCGCCAGCCGCATTAATCGAGCTATTAACAGTAAAAAACAATGTAAACGCATATTCCATGGCAATGAATGAATGAAAGAACATAATAATGCTTTTCAAAACGCCGATACACGTCCTCGTCTGCAACGTAGGACACAAAACATGTTTTGTTATCTCGATTTCCGCTGTTATTTTGAAGCGAATGGTCAAAATCACATCCATTTTCGGTTCATACAGTTTCTCAAGAATAGCATTGCATGACATTTTCTCACTTTCACATCACCTTCTAGCAAGCTGGAATTTGTATATCCCCCGTGTTGCGGAGTCGAAGAGCAAATGCTCATCTTCTCGTCAGGTGTAACACCTGGACGAGTCAAAGGCTCTTGAATCGAAATCCAATCCCCAAGTTAACCATCGTACTCATCTGAAAGACTCCTGTGTGTCTTAAAATTCGGTAAGACCTCTAACCGTGCTGTAGAAAATTTGCCACAAAGAAAACTCTAAGTCTAAGCAACGAACGATGCACTCTCACCCACCGAACTTCCCCGTGTTATTATTTGACTTGTTCCTGGCGCAATGCACTCTGGTTAAATGCAATGCATTGTGGTAAAAAGTGTGGTTAAATGCAATGCATTGTGGTAAAAAGTGATGAATTCGAGAATTCGTTGCCCCTATATATATTTCCTTTAAATCCTGATTATGTTGCTGCTCGCTCCCTGCGGTCGCTCCGCAGCAATAAGGGACGACGAATTCTCACTTTTTACCACAATGCATTGCATTTAGTCACACTTTTTACCACAATGCATTGCATTTAACCAGAGTGCATTGCGCCACGAACAACTCAACTAATAACACGGGGACGTTCGGTGGGTGAGAGTGCATCGTTCGTTGCTTAGACTTAGAGTTTTCTTTGTGGCAAATTTTCTACAGCACGGTTAGAGGTCTTACCGAATTTTAAGACACACAGGAGTCTTTCAGATGAGTACGATGGTTAACTTGGGGATTGGATTTCGATTCAAGAGCCTTTGACTCGTCCAGGTGTTACACCTGACGAGAAGATGAGCATTTGCTCTTCGACTCCGCAACACGGGGGATATACAAATTCCAGCTTGCTAGAAGGTGATGTGAAAGTGAGAAAATGTCATGCAATGCTATTCTTGAGAAACTGTATGAACCGAAAATGGATGTGATTTTGACCATTCGCTTCAAAATAACAGCGGAAATCGAGACAACAAAACATATGTTTTGTGTCCTACTTTGCAGACGAGGACGTGTATCGGCGTTTTGAAAAGCATAATTATGTTCTCTCATTCATTCATTGCCATGGAAGATGCGTTTACATTGTTTTTTCACTGTTAATAGCTCGGTTAATGCGGCCGGCGATCATCTTGCCGGCGGAAGTTTCATGGAAAAGGAATAACGTGAAAGACTTTTACTACATATTACGTAATCAGCCTCTGCGGTGTAGTGGCTAGGCGTAGTCGCGTCGAGTCGAAGATGCCGGGCTCGAGTCCTACCGAATTATTTATTCCTACTTTCTTTGTTTTTCCGTTTCTTTGTGTTGTTGTTTTCTATAAATATATAGCTAAAGAACTGTTACTTAATAAAGTGCAACAAACAGCAAGAAAAGTATTGTGTTTCGAGAGAAAATATCGTGCACCGTATATTAAATATATGGATAAACAATCTTGAATTTCTATTATTTCGTACAATTTACTGTGGGAAAACCACAGTTGATAACCACTTGATCATTTTCTAAACAACGTTCCCACGAGTTCTTTCTATAGACTGATAGTAATTATTCTAGTACTTTCCAGCATGTAAATAGGACATTCAATGTCATTTTTGATTCTTTTAAGTCTCACTGCCTAACTAATGCCAGTATCAACAGAATGTGCCGCAGCATTACTATCTTTTAGATACCCTAGTTATTCACTATGGAACTTAGGGCCTGTTTACGTGGAGGTGGGGGACCCCAGGTAGGTGGGGTAACCCGACTGTCCATATAATCTCTCATTTTACAGCGCGAAGCTCGCTACCGTTTCCACCCGACCAAGATTTTTGATGAATTTTTGACACTTTTTTGACACTTTACCAATGAGCCCCGACGACAAAGTGGGCGGAGACAGTCTAGACTGATATGTGGCGCGACGACAATTAATGGGATATTTTTAGTTTGTTGGTCGGCCGGCGACATGAAATTTCAAGTGAAAGTGGAGTATGGGAGAGAGAAATTTGTAAAGTTTTACGTTGAAGCAGACGTTGTCGATGGAAAGGTACTAAGGTATTCATTCTCCTCGCTTGTAGAAGACATCCGACGGACCTGCGGTAGCTTGCGATATCACACGTCAAGCACTTTGCGGATACGATACAAGGACGAAGATGGCGATTTTGTCAACCTCAACGAGGACGACGCAGATAATTTTCAAGAGATGTTTGTTCGTGCCAGTTCAGTAGATGAAGGGCTATATCGTACGGTGGCTCGTAGGGACAAAACACTTCCCAGAATCCAAAACACTTCCTAGAATCCAAAAACACGTCCCAGAATCCAAAACACCTCCCAGAATCCAAAAACACGTCCCAGAATCCAAAACACTTCCCAGAATCCAAAAACACGTCCCAGACTCCAAAAACACTTCCCAGAATCCAAAAACACATCCCAGAATCCAAAAACACTTCCCAGAATCCAAAACACGTCCCAGAATCCAAAAACACGTCCCAGAATCCAAAACACTTCCCAGAATCCAAAAACACGTCCCAGAATCCAAAACACTTCCCAGAATCCAAAAACACGTCCCAGAATCCAAAACACGTCCCAGAATCTAAAGCACATCCCAGAATCCAAAACACTTCCCAGAATCCGAACACACTTCCCAAAATCCAAAGCACGTCCCAGAATCTAAATACCAGAAATACACTTTATATAGTTCATCGTTCATAGCACGTATTCAGGGGGACTTTTCTTTGGGTTAATTTCGTCGGGTAAAACCTTTAGAAAATGTGCCAAGCATTTCTAAAATCAGAATCCAAAAGCATTTCCCAGAATCCAAAACACTTCCCAGAATCCAAAAACACGTCCCAGAATCCAAAACACTTTCCAGAATCCAAAAACACGTCCCAGAATCCAAAACACGTCCCAGAATCCAAAACACGTCCCAGAATCCAAAACACTTCCCAGAATCCGAACACACTTCCCAAAATCCAAAGCACGTCCCAGAATCTAGATACCAGAAATACACTTTATATAGTTCATCGTTCATAGCACGTATTCAGGGAGGGCTTTTCTTTGGGTTAATTTCGTCGGGTATAACCTTTAGAAAATGTGCCAAGCATTTCTATAATCATGCAGGTAAGCCACTTTTTCCGAAACTTTGTTACCGCCTCCGTTTTCATTTTTTTACTTTATATTAATTCAATAACCTTGCAACTTCTCAGTCAGTCACTTGAATTGTTCATTCTGTAGCAAGTTTTGTCGTCAAAAAATTGTCGCACTTACCGTGGTTGTTTCTCCTTTCAGTGTACCCTTGTTTTTTTTGTATGCAAGAAGAGGAACTCTTGGGTGTTAGACAACCGAATGGTGCTTGTCTGAAGGACAAGTGCATAGGAACCTTTTTCTCTTACTTTGAAATAACTGGAAACGACTTTACACGAAAGAAACTTTTATTGTTTACTGATTCCTCTGGGTCGAAAGCCTAAAAAGTAAAATGTTACGTGGCTGCACATTAGACCTTGTAACGTTTTTCGACGCCATCTTGACGAGTAGGCAAACGCGTAAGAAATTACAGTATTTGTATGAGAATCAAATGTCGAATAATTTCCGTAGAACGGCTGTTCTGAAAAAAATATGATTTGTAAACTGAAGCTTCACTCCCAAGTATTCTATACTGGAAAAAATTGAGAGCGTTACATGCTCTGGAAGACCTAGAACCACTTTTTTAAATTTTCTATACATTTGTCTGTAAGAAAGTCCCAGGAAAATTACAGACAAGTGTATGGAAACTCTAATGTAAACTAATGCAAGCCTCTGGAGAAATTTAGGCACAGGTACGCCTCCAAAATGTTTTAGGATAATCCTTTGCTTTGTAGCTTTAGTTTACAATTGACATTTTTTTCAGAACAGCCGTTTTACGTAAATTATTCGACATTAGATTCTCATACAAACACTGTAATTTCTCACGCGTTTGCCTACTCGTCAAAATGGGCTCGAAAACCGTGACAAGGTCTATTGTGCAGCCACATAACACTTTTTAGGCTTTCGACCCAGAGGAATCAGTAAACGATAAAAGTTTCTTCTGCGTAAAGTCTTTTCCAGTTATTTCAACGTAAGAGAAAAAGGTTCCTATGCACTTGTCCTTCAGACAAGCACTATATTACATTCGGTTGTCCAAAACCCAAGAGTTCCTCTTCTTGCATGCAAAAAAAACAAGGGTACACTGAAAGGAGAAACAACCACGGTAAGTGCGACAATTTTTTGACGACAAAACTTGCTACAGAATTAACAATTCAAGTGACTGACTGAGAAGTTGCAAGGTTATTGAATTAATATAAAGTAAAAAAATGAAAACGGAGGCGGTAACAAAGTTTCGGAAAAAGTGGCTTACCTGCATGATTATAGAAATGCTTGGCACATTTTCTAAAGGTTATACCCGACGAAATTAACCCAAAGAAAAGCCCTCCCTGAATACGTGCTATGAACGATGAACTATATAAAGTGTATTTCTGGTATTTAGATTCTGGGACGTGCTTTGGATTTTGGGAAGTGTGTTCGGATTCTGGGACGTGTTTTGGATTCTGGGAAGTGTTTTGGATTCTGGGACGCGTTTTTGGATTCTTGGACGTGTTTTTGGATTCTGGGACGTGTTTTTGGATTCTTGGACGTGTTTTTGGATTCTGGGACGTGTTTTTGGATTATGGGAAGTGTTTTGGATTCTGGGACGTGTTTTTGGATTCTGGGAAGTGTTTTGGATTCTGGGAAGTGTTTTGGATTCTGGGAAATGTTTTTGGATTCTGGAAAGTGTTTTGGATTCTGGGAAGTGTTGTGGATTCTGGGACGTGTTTTTGGATTCTGGAACGTGTTTTGGAGTCTGGGACGTGTTTTTGGATTCTGGGAAGTGTTTTGGATTCTGGGAAGTGTTTTGGATTCTGGGAAATGTTTTTGGATTCTGGAAAGTGTTTTGGATTCTGGGAAGTGTTGTGGATTCTGGGACGTGTTTTTGGATTCTGGAACGTGTTTTGGAGTCTGGGACGTGTTTTTGGATTCTGGGAAGTGTTTTGGATTCTGGGGGGTGTTTTAGATTCTGGGACGTGTTTTTGGATTGTGGGAAGTGTTTTGGATTCTGGGACGTGTTTTTAGATTCTGCGATGTGTTTTGGATTCTGGGAGGTGTTTTGGATTCTGGGACGTGTTTTTGGATTCTGGGAGGTGTTTTGGATTCTGGAACGTGTTTTGGATTCTGGGAAGTGTTTTGGATTCTGGGAAGTGTTTTGTCCCTACGAGCCACCGTAATATCGGAAAGTACTTCTGAGAGTCAGTGAGCTAGATTCACCTGTAGTTCAACCAACGGTCCAGGCAAAAAGAAGAAAGCTTGAACAAGAAATGTCTACTCCAGCGCAGGAAACTGAGCACATTCCTCGGTCACTTGAGAGCAGCTTTGCGAATGCCGCAAATCCCGAGCGATCACCACTCGACTACGTAAAAGCGGAATTGGCCGAAAACGTGCAGTTAAAAAAAGTTTTATTATCGAGTGCGAAAGAGGAGTTGGTCAAGGCAACCGCCCAAAATGAAGCGCTCACTCCTCTCTCAGCCATACGATCAAGGATCTGTGGAAATTGTCACGAATCTGGTCATACAAAACCGAAATGTGTTTCACCTCCCTGTCCTTCTCATGACGCTTGTGGTTTGAGGGACAAGCACCCTGAGCTGAAACTTAAGATATCAGAGCTGCAAAAAGAAATTAAACGATTACAGCAAGAACACTGCGATGCAGAATCAAAGCTGAAGGCGTTTTGCGAGTCCCGCGTGAAGGCATCAACTTCATTTTTTGCAGTAATAATGCGTCCCAGACTTAAAGTGCGTAATTTAATCAAGTACAGTGACCGTGTTTCCTTAGACCGAGATCTTCTTATGCTTGAAAAAGCATTGAATGGAAAGATTCCTGAATTTGATGCGAGCGAGAATTGGCGGTTGCCAATTCTGATTGAACAGTATCGAAATAGAACGGTGAGGGTAAAAGGCGGAATGAGTTTGCGGAATGGCATGTGGCATAGCTTGCGGAATGACATAATTATGCGGAATTTAATATACGCTGATCGTTTTCAAAGAAATAAATTAAACTGAAAAGAGCGCCCTTTTTTGGCGCCAATCAATTTGCAAACGCAGCCTCTGTTTTAATGTTGCGGGCTTATTAAACATACGATGACTATCAAAAAACCACGAAGGCTCATTGTCGACCAGCCTTGTCCGCACAGCAGAAAAGGTTCTTCGTCTATTGAAGAAAAGACGTTTTCGAAGGTCACGCTCCCTTCTACTTTAATTAATTTTTTCAGCAAAAGATGTTTGTACGATTAACTTAACAGTTTCTTGTTACCTATATTTGTATTGCAAACCGTGTGAGAAGTGTTTCTTTATGACACTGTGGGTTACGTGATCGTGCCATAATTGATAATATTATTCAGAGATGAATCGAATCTTGTATTTTGTTTCCTCAGTTGCGAGCTTGAGACGTGCGAAACAGAAAAATCGACCAAAATGTTAATTTCGTGGCAAGAGTTGAAAAATCAAGTTCTTTCATTTTTGTTCATAGATAGCTTTTAGGTTTATAAGAACCTAACGTAGATTGTTCCCGCCGAAAGCCTTTCATTGGTGAGAAAAAATAGAACATCGGTTTTCGATGTCGGAGTCCGTCTCAAACTGCATCAATTTTTAACCTGAAATTCGCTAACATCAACTTTCCTCGTGTTCGCAAACGAAGCTGGATGGAGAAATTTGTACACTTTCCACGAACAGAAAAATTCTTTCCTTCCACTAGAAGATTTTTTCTGGACAATAGGGAAGCTGGTCGTACTGAAATAATTTTAAAAATGAGGGACAAAATTTAAGTTCGTTACTCATTTTCGACGGCAATATTTAACATGTGGTATTACTCCAAATTCTCTTCTTGCTATTTAAATCACACATTTAGACATTCATTTAAAACATACCTGGGAATTGGCTTGGGTAAGTGAAGGAAATCTCTGTAAGACACCATCGAAGTTCAGGAATTTTCATGGTAGGCTGGCGGTAATTGTCTGTATTGTGTAAACACTTCCAATTTCGAAACGCACATAAATAGATATTTACAGCCTAAAGGCTCGTTTTTCGTACGTCTTGTAGGTTTTTCCTTTGCAAAGTTGATTTTTTCAAACAAACAATGGGTAAAAAAGGTGAAACTGGGTTAATTTTAGCCATTTTGAAACGATGAACTTTACATGTCTGCGACTCGGCGTGACAGTCTGTTCCGTGACTACACGTGTCACATTGTATGTTTGAAGAGACGGAAGTAACGCAGCGTAATTCTTGATCGAAGGAGTAACATTTTCGGTGCCGACAGTATTTTGAAGAAGCAAAAATCAACCGCACAATTAAGTATTCTGGTACTCCCTTCTATCGAAAAAAATAAGGATTTTAACAATGGTAATTCGCTAAGGATAACGGAAAAGAAGATATTTCGTCTTGTTACTTTACAATCGAGGAGACTAAGTTATTTTGGTCACGCCTCACTATATTTACCGGACTTTAATGTTTTCGTTTGGACGTTGCCTTCAGGAACCCTAGCCAATTCTCAGGTATGTTTTAGATAAATGCCTAAATGCGTGAACCAGTGAAGCAGTTGCTCACTCAAATTGGCGCCAAAAAAGGCGCGGCAATGACGCGCGCATGCCTTTCAGTTTAATTTACTTTCTTTGCGCCAGTTTCCATATTTTACATTCTGCATAATTATGTCATTCCGCAAGCCATGCCACATGCCATTCCGCAAACTCATTCCTCCTTTTACCCTCACCGGAAATAGAAATGTTGATATTTATTTGAACAGCGTCGTAGATTGCCGCTCTTTAGTTTCCAAATGACTATATCTATAGAGGACTGAACTTTCTGAACTGTACAATAAGATCACCTTGTCAGCTGTTGTGTTGATGTATTGTTGAAAATTTTGTCTTTTATGCATTATAAAATTTAAATTTTATGTTGTGTTGAATTATTCATTTTTTATTCTGTTTACATTTCGCGTGTTGTTGTTATACATTGTCGCCTATGTGATACAGTGACACAAAAGTACTTTGAACAGTCGGCTTGAATATATAATAATTTTATTCAGTTGACATGATAACCCAAGAACTTGGAGGAATATATATTTTTTCAAATATCTAATTGCTGCGTGACTATATTTCCCCAACTTATTTGTTCTCACGCCGAGTTAAAAATAGAAACTACAACCGGGCGGAAAGCCTTGAAACGAACAAGGGTGTCACAAGCATGCTTTTTTATGAATATCACTAAACAAGAAGCTATAGGAGATAGTATTAGTTTTCCATCAATTATCGCGAATATTTACAGCCGTTTTCACTGTTTGGTGCATTCAGCTGACGATTTCTCGCCTATCTTTCGACATGCTAGGAAAACAGGGCGGATCGATATCGACAAATCACAGCCCGCTAATGTGACCTTCTGAACTTTTTTTAGGTCATTCTAGTGGGCTGTGATTGGTGGATTTCGATCCGTTCTGCTTGTTAAGCTCAAAAAGTGGTGGTATTTACGATGGCCCAGGAGGGTCACAGTCCAGTATTGGTTTTTGACAGTCCAGTTATGGTTTTACACAGTCCAGTTATGGTTTTACACAGTCCAGTTATGGTTTTACACAGTCCAGTTATGGTTTTACACAGTCTAGTTTTAGTTTTTACACAGTCCAGTTTTAATTTTTACACAGTCCAGTTTTATTTTTTTACACAGTCCAGTTTTAATTTTTACACGGTCCAGTTTTATTTTTATTACACAGTCCAGTTTTATTTTTACACAGTCCAGTTTTAATTTTTACACAGTCCAGTTTTATTTTTTCACACAGTCCAGTTTTATTTTTACACAGTCCAGTTTTAATTTTTACACAGTCCAGTTTTATTTTTTTTACACAGTCCAGTTTTATTTTTTGTGTGGTTACCAGACCTCTCTCGCGCTACTGCAACACTTGTTATCTAACGGCAGCCATTTTGTATTTCCTTGCGACGATGGATTCAATCATCAGGCAGGCTGTTCCAGAGGAACTGAGACGTTCAAGTTCTAGTCGTCCAGAAACTGCGTCTTCTACTAATCAAGATGATCAGGGAAGAAGTGAAAACGAATCAGGTGCGGCTGGATCATCACGAAGTTCGTTTTCATCACGAACAGTGGGCCGATGTTTCTAAAACGAAGACCCAAAAACGAAGACCTAAGACCTCCTGGACTAAAACTCTAAACACTTTGGATGTGTTTACGGTGATGATGACGTCAGTTTTGTTTAAATAAAAATTTCTCACACCATGTACATTCGAGAAAGCTTTCGAAGTCTTGTGGTAACGTCCACATCGGAAGTTCTCTCGGGATCGAATCTTGCTAAACGGAAGTATGCTTTTCCTTTCCTTTTTTTTTCTTTCATTTTTATATTGTTATCATTATGACAACTGCTTGAGCCGTAAAAGATAAGTCATTTTTTACAATAGAGGTCAGAATAAAGTAACAGGGATATAAATATAACCCCGTATGTATAGGAATGAACCTTGCTTGCATGAAACTCGAAATGTACATCTTTAGTCGAGTGATGTTCTGGATCGACAGCTTTTTTCTATTGATGAGGTAAAAAGTAATAAAAAGAGCGCGAGGTTCCCCACTCCTTAAATTCATCATTGCTAAATGTCTCGTTGTTATTTCCTCCCTACGCCGGTTATTTTGTTTTGTAAATGTATTGATCGATACAATTGTTCGACATTTTAGAACGCTAGAGCACGCGGTTATATTTTCTTAGCCGTCGATCGAAGAAAAGGTGGGTGATAGACTTCATTATTACAATTAAATAGCGCAGAGGAAATTCCACAGCACTCCTAAATCGCCTTAAAGTTTTATTCCACAGGGGTCTTCGTTTTAGTCCAGAGGGTCTTCGTTTTAGTCCACGGGGTCTTAGGTCTTAGCCCGGGGGGGGGGGACTCGATATATCCTTGGGTGTGGAGGTGCGGCCCGGCTCCTTATACCCTGACCCTGTGTAAGACAAAAATCGCTGATTTTCCTACCCTGTTTAAGACAGAATTCCGATTTTCATACCCTGTTTAAGACATTCGTAGAACGTACGCGCAGGCTGTTTATCGTCCAAGAAAAGGTACCCCGTTTAAGACAAATATTGATAAAATCGATACCCTGTTTGAGACAAAAATTCCGAAAAACATACCCTGGCTGGCCGCACGTCCCCATGAAGCCCTTACAAGGGAGTAACCCCCCTCCCCGGGGTCTTGGGTCTTCGTTTTAGAAACACCCCAAACGGCCCACTGTTCGTGATGAAAACGAACTTCGTGATTATTCAGCCGCACCTGGTTCGTTTTCACTTCTTCCCTGATCATCTTGATTAGTAGAAGACGCAGTTTCTGGACGACTAGAACTTGAACGTCTCAGTTCCTCTGGAACAGCCTGCCTGATGATTGAATCCATCGTCGCAAGGAAATACAAAATGGCTGCCGTTAGATAACAAGTGTTGCAGTAGCGCGAGAGAGGTCTGGTAACCACACAAAAAATAAAACTGGACTGTGTAAAAAAAAAAAAACTGGACTGTGTAAAAATAAAACTGGACTGTGTAAAAAAATAAAACTGGACTGTGTAAAAATAAAACTGGACTGTGTAAAAAAATAAAACTGGACTGTGTAAAAAAATAAAACTGGACTGTGTAAAAATTAAAACTGGACTGTGTAAAAACTAAAACTAAACTGTGTAAAACCATAATTGGACTGTGTAAAACCATAACTGGACTGTGTAAAACCATAACTAGACTGTCAAAAACCAATACTGGACTGTGACCCTCCTGGGCCATCGTAGGTATTCACCTAGTCTGCTACACAGCCGTTTTTAGTGTCGTCACGCAAACGCTCCTCCCCACACTTTGCGGGGAGGAGCATTGCGTGACGACACTAAAAACGGCTGTAGTAGCAGACTAGTATTCACCATGCTCTCTTATTTCT